GCTGAACACTTACTCCGAGTGGGCAATTTAGAAGTTGAAGCCACAGGGAATAAAGTCACTGCCTGGTCAGCATGGCCCGGGGCCCAGAAGACTCAGCCTGCTGTGTGTTAGAGAGAGAGGGTTTAATTTTGGTGCTTACAGTCCAGGCACGGAGGGTGGGTGGCAAACTGATACCAGAAGGGATGATATTAACCTGGCAGCCGAACTTGTCTAATAACTGCCACTGCCTCCCGGCAGACACAACCCCGGAAACCAGAGGACAGGGGGCTTTGTCATGCTACATAATTAATATGTGATGGCACTCGGCTCAGAATGATTTAGTTACTAGTGAAAAAGTAAGACCTAATGCTGGGACTTACATTAAGGGCACAAATTGGGGAGACTGGGTGGAATTAGTGGTCTTTCCAGGCCATGTTAGATTCAAGCAAAGTAGATGGCTGGTTGGTTTGTCCAATTTGTTCAACAAACAACTTTGTGCCCAGATGCCCCGGCCCACGGTATTCCTGGGAGCCTTTCCTGATCCCAGGTGCTCTCAGAGTAGAACTCCAACGTGGCTTTCTGGAGACAAAATAAAACCCTCCACCCCAGAGAAGAAGAGGCAGCCTGAGTTCAAGACGGTTTTGCCAATGCTAAAGTGAGAGGAGAGGTTTCAGAATCGAGGCGAGAAGTGTGTGTGTATCTCCAGGTCTCTGCACTCAGGGAGGACCCCAGATCAGGCGCTGGGTGGGACTGGCCCCTGTCGGTGCTGGGGCTCTTCACCTCAAGTGCTTCTTCCTGTCCAGGAGGCCAGGGCTAGTGAGTGCATTAGGATTTTGCCAGATGGCTTTTAATTTTTAACCTATTTGGTCACAGGACTAAGAGTTGGAATTGTCCTCCACAGGACTCCGAAATGATTTCTTTGCCAGTTTGATGTGATTTTCATTTTTTTGAGTTTTGGTGGCTGGTGTAAATGGGGCCAGCCCGGGTGAGAAGGTAGATGTGTTCCACCAGGACCGGGCTGTACCCTGATTCAGCCACCTGGCCATTTGGGTCCTCTCCTGGTGAGGCATCTCCTCCTTCTCCTCCCTGCTCTTTCCTTCTCTCCCAGCCCCTGGCCCTTTTCTTCATCTCCCCTTCCCTCCACCCCTCCCCATGCTTGACGGGAGCTCATGGTAGGCTTGATCCTACCTGAAGAAACAATCTGAGGGTGGATGTCTGCCTCTGGCAGGGGTGTGGGCATTTTGCTGAGGTCTCCCTGGACCCTGTGCTTTTGATCCCAAACCTCACTTCCAGCTCCTTCAGTTACATTTGGAAGTTTACAGCTAACTTGCTCCTGTATGGAATGTGAATTCCACCTCCTGCAGGAGACGTTAAACTTCACCAATCCATCATCTTCACCAGCCAGGACATCATTGTATGTGAGAGACAAGGGCGACTGGGACTCAAGTTGATGGTTGGTGGGAGCCACATCTTGACCTCCAACTTGGGAAGAACCAGGATCACCTACTTGCGTTGTCTTGCACTGACGATGCCATAAAAAACAGTGTCCCTCGGAAACAGTTGGTAGATTTTATGATGGGCGCAGATATTTTACCAAAATTATTTGTAATAAAAATCTATGAAAAGGGAATCTGAGCTGGCCCACAAGAAAGCTGGGAGCAGAGGGTTTCCTCCTTTCTTTTGATGAGAGGTCTCACTAGAACTTTCTTAGCTTTATAACCTCTGTCTCAATTGCAGGTGGCCACCATGTATGAAGAAAAATGAAAGGGTTCAGGTGGTGGCTGCCCTGATGGACCCGTTAGTCACCCTCCCCTGGCTGTCTACCATCTGGGCTCTGCTTGGGGCAGAAAATGGAAAAACTCAACCCCTACCACAGGGACAGCTGGAGAAGCAACCAGTAGCAACAAAATAAACCCATTCCCATCACCTGCCTGTACAAGGTGGGGCACGATTCCAGAAGGACTATCGAACGGAGCTTTCTTTTCCCAACTGTTTGGTCAACTGTTCTTTTCAAGCAGGGCATGCATGCTGAGAGTACAGCCCAGAGCCTCATGTTTCAGACATCCTCCCAAGTGTGTCCCACAGAGTGTCACCTGTCAGGCTAAACCTGGAAAACCACCCTGAGCCTGGGCTATCAAGGGAAGACTGACTTTTTAATTGTTTTCAGATGAGCAGGTAATAGGTGTTATGAATATACCAAGTTTTCCCACTCTGCCTGATGGGGCTTCTGAGGAGTCCAGTGACGGTGGACTTTATGTCATTAAGTACATTTACACACTCACTTGCCTGTTACTATTTTACTATTGTTCCATTTTTTAAAGTAAGTGTTCATGCCTCATCAAATGGTAATGAGGCAAAGGATCTGATCCAGCTTATGTAAGAAATGTAAATTAAGGTCCTAAATCACTCCACTAATACTGAAACTGTATCTACTTCCTGATAACTGTCATTCTAATGTTCTCCAAAACTGAGTTATCTGTCATCAACAAGATTTGCTAACAAGATGCTTGCTTTCCTTCTCTCTGTGCTCATGAAATCACAGCCTTTGACAATGAATCCTGATAACACCAAGAGAGGCCCCAGTACTTGCTCTATCATTCAGTGACTCTTGGCAGAAAATAAAAACACCTCCATGAAAAATTCTAAACATCAAAAAAGCTATAAAATATGCATCTTACTGTGACAGGAAATTCAACTATTTAAGGAAAACTTTTGTACTTTTCCTATACTTAACTGTTTTAAAGAAGATACGTGAAATGAGATGAAAATAAACAACGTTCTCCATAAACTAGAACTATGGAAGATTAAATATTGCCTGAAGTGAAATAGCTAAATTCGGTGGATTTTAATTACTTTTGTCCCAATGGGCCCTCCTCCCCACGCTGATTTCTTCGGTCTTTCCCTTAGGTTGCAATGATTAATTTGCAAGCTCAGCCCGATACTGTCCATGGAACTAAAGTATGGCAGGTGAGATGATTGAGATGATTAGTTGTACTGGGGATTGAACCCAGGGGTGCTCTCTGAGCTACAGCCCTTTTTATTTCAAGACAGGGTCTTATCGGGTTGCCAGATTGGCCTGGCATTTGGGAACCTCCTGCCTCAGCCTCCCCAGTAGCTCAGATGAGAGCATGGCAGGTTTCTTTCCACTGTCAGTCAATGTCTGAGTTGGAATGAGGATGGAGGAGGGTCACCCACTGCCCCATCTTGGCTTTGCTGTAGGACATCTGCTTACTGTCCCTATCACTGGAATCCATCCTTGTTTCTTCTAGTGGCAGGCTGCTGAGATACTTCCCAGTCCCTATTTTCCATTCTCAGGTTGTTCAAAAATCACATTTTCTTGGCTCAAAAAAAAAAAAAAAAAAAAAAAACAGGCAGTGGAGAGGATACATAACTTACCAGGATGCACATTTCTCTTGAAATAATCGAGTGTTGAAAGTCACCTCTGCCCGCCATGTTTTCTCCTATGACTTCCTCTTGCATCCCTTTGGGCACTGCGATTCTAAGTGTAAAGCTTAACACTCACCCAGTGGAAGCCACATCCTTACCAAAAGCCTCCTTAATGTTGGCTGAGACAGGAAATGGAAATGGCTTGTGTTATCCCTCCTTCAAAGCATTTCTAGTGCTCAGCCTCCATGAAATGGATTGCTTATGGGGAGATAATGTCTGTTCTATTCCTTTTTAAGTCTGTGAAAAATGTCATCCTGGTTAATAGGGTGATTAAAACTCTTTATGCTCCAGGAGATAAATGTGATTATGTTTGTCATACTCTACCCAAGATAAAGACAGCAAGAAGGCAAACTTGAAATTCCATAACACTTCCTCTCTTCCATATCCAGAACATTCAGAATGCAATACACAGATGGTACTTCACATAAAGAATAACATTATCTGTTAAACATTTTTCCTTTCCATTAACCAATTTAACAATATGCCTCTGGTATAAAAGGAATAGACTAAATCTTCTGATATCCGAGTTCTGACTGAGGAAAGACATCACTTTAGTCATATTGCTTGTTTTCTTTTTGAATTTTCATCTTTGTTACTTTGTTTTTGCTTTTAAAGTGCAATTGGAGCCAATGCTTGGTACCTATTCTGGGGAATCTGTCCCAGGTAGCTTTCCCTCAGCAGGTGACTCATGGTCCTTTCCACAGGGTCCCTCTGCCATCTGTCAAGGATGACATAGTCATGTGTAAGGACAGGGTTTTGTTAGCACCACAGGCCAGCGTTCCCTCACTCCACCTGCGTGCCTTTCTCAGGCTTCCTCTGTGCCAGGCCCCGTGGGAACGCTGCACACCCACCCAGGCCTGGCTCCTTCCTAGGGCTCGGCTGCCATCGGTCCAGTGTACCCAGCCCCCACAGCAGG